CCCTAAGATTTTCTATTCCTTCTATTTTCTAGAAGAAGCCTGTCACTGGGAGAAGTAATTTATCTAGGACCGGTCCTGAAACTGAACTGAAACTTCATTAAACTTTTCATGCATGCCATCCATAATTAGGTTTTTCGTCAAGATTTCTTAGCTGGTTTATTATTGTGGTGCACCACTGATGATTTCCGCTAATCACTAATCATAACAGAGGCATGTAAAGGCACCTATAGGGATTCCAGTGACAACACAGATCACTAGTAGAGATAGTACCGATCTGATACCAGATATCAGGCCGATATCAGCAGAAAGCATTGGACCCATTGGCCATCCTGTAACAACTGTATCCCGCAAAAGCAAACATTGACACTGTGTGATGTTGTTAACTGTGTATTTCTTCCTGTGGAGTAATATAGTTTTTGAGTAGTTTCACAATAATTCAATTAAAAATTGTTTATTTCAAAGCTTTGAAATTTTTGAAGTAGTCAAACAGATTTGATTGCCATTTAGTACAATTATAACAACTGACTGCGACTCACAACAATGAACAATTCAAATAAAGTTGGTGACTGACGATATAATCTGTAATCCCGATTTTCAATAAGAAAATACTGTGCAAGTTATTTTTAAAAGGTGCCCAGGCCTATCCCAGACATTTCTCATGATAAATAAGCACAATGTGCTACTGCTGTATGCAAAAGTTTAGGCACCTCTGGTCAAATCACATTGCGTTCATTTTCAACACATATTCTCCACACTTCTGTACATTTTAATGCTTTAATTACTGTTTATTTACTGAATTTAACATATTGGGGAAAAAAAACAAATTGCAGCCTGTGCAAAGATTATGACACGTTGTATTTTATTTTTCAAATAAATACAAAATGTACACTAAAATGTGCAGAGAAAGTTATTTTTACGTTTGTTTTCTGTAGGGGATGTGTTAACTTATTGTCCTAATTAATGGAAAATGTCATTTGACCGGAGGTGGGGGGTACTCAAACTTTTGGATATGACTGTAATTTAAAGGGTACTAAACTAACAGTACCTTTTAATGACAAACACATATGAAAATCCCAATGTAGATTCAAATCTAAATCAAAAACAGAAATGCATCAAGAATCCTTTTATAATCGCATCTTGACACCCTGAATCAAAATCAAATCAAATCGTGACTTCTCTAGACATTCCTGCCCCTAATACTGACTAAGCTCTGGCACCCTCTAAAAAGGACTTCAGTCCAGTTCATCATAACTCACGAGTTTGATTTGTTGTTGTAAACTCTGACTATATTGGCTGTGCAAGCAAGACCACTAGTAAGTACAAATCAGTAAACGATAAGTATCTGTGAGTCTTGAAGTCTTGCGATACAATAATTAACCATAAAGTTCTTCTTGAACAGCAAATAGTAACTACCAGTACAGGCAAGTCAAGGCAGCAATGATGAGATGCTAAAAATTTCTGTGCTGAAGAGGCATGTCTTAGAGACAGAACACAGCCAACTGGATCTAAAGCAGTCTGCTAGAGTTTAGCCTTTATGTAGGATTAAATCCTCTTTATTGTTTACTATGGGAAACATATGAGCAGGCCAGCTGGTCCCGACCTCTAAGCATATGGGTGAAAGGAGGATTCATCTCAGGTTTTGTCTTAAATAGATTATACAGCATTGCAAAACCCTCTAGTGGAAAAAATTAAATAAAATAAAATTAAATGCAAAGTGTTTTCCTGAAGAACAATGTTTCATGTCTGAGGTCTATTTTGCATGGTTGTCTGTCTTTTCTTAAACGACTGAAACGCTTTGAAAGCATTTTGAAATTCTTCATCATGTCCCAAAGTGGGGACAAGAGGACCTCTTTCACAGAGATTCTGAAAGGACCATTAAGTAACACGTCTACCTGACACTAAAGGGTGAATTCTATCGACCCTGATCCAAAGATGGTATCAACTTCCCTCTTTTGGGGGTTTCAACTTCCCTCTTTAACTTGTTTTTGGATATGTGTTTGTTAGCGATGCAGTAGCGCTGAGGAGCAGACATTACACAGCTGGAGCTCTAGGGGACCATTCAGAGAAAGCAAAGGCAACTTCACATTTTGATGGGGTTAAAACTCAGTAAATATGTTTTGTGTACACTGCTTACAGCAAGCACGTGAGAATCCATCTCTGCTGACATTAACACTAACGCTAACATTGGCTTTTGTGACTGACCTCTTTCCCATAATGCCCTCTGACTTTATGTCAGCATTAATTACAGTGCCAGCTGCCAGAAGACTTGGCTGCACATATGCCACACACACCTGACATCTGGTATTGGGCATCGACTTTTATCCTGAACTTCTGCCTCGCAGCTGAACAACTGCTTTGGTATTTCTCTCTGACTCTGTCTTACTCTCTTACTCTGCTTTTTTCTCTCTTCCCTCCTTTCTTGAGGATGGCACTATGGGTGGCCACAATACATATCACAGTATGTAGATTTGTTATGTTTGTACAGATAAAAAACCACCACTAGTGCCACTTTTAAATACAAGAAAAAAATACGGCAAAACAACTAAGACATTCTCACAATACACAATACATACCATGATACTAAAAACAGTCACCAAAAACTGCATCACTAGATCAGTGTTCTTTAAGTATGGATGATATCCACTATGTGCTCAGAAAAAGCATATTCCAATAACAGAGTTTAACAAAATGTATCACAATAAAATACTGTCATATTGCCCACCTCTAAAAAATACTGTCAAAAACTACATGAGCAATGATTTTTATTTAATGTTTCACATGCTGTGTTGCACTAAAACAACAGGACCAATTATTCTCTTTGTAATGCAGTTGTTCAATGAACTTTGATGATGATATCTACAACATGTTTCAGAAACACGTGTTGTGATAGAATTTATGATAATAACCATAAAATATCATCATATTGCCCACTCCTAGATGGCACAATATCACTTTTTATTTTCCAATACCAATACTGAAATCTTGAGTATCGGCTGATGCCATTACTGATCCAATATTATTTAAAAAATATAAGTGCTGAATGACCTATTTTTAATTTAAGCACTTCACTTAAGATGAGCATCTAAAAGTAGGCTATCCTACTGAAACTAAACACTCTACCACCCCAGAGGAAGAAATACACTGATAACGAGATCACATCCCACAGTGTGAGTGTGCCATTTCAGGACAGATTTGTTACAGGATCAGATTCATCCTTTATTGCCATCCAGTATCCAGCACTTTCGTCAGACATCAGCCTGATACTGATGCTCAATATCAATATGCCGTCTCTACTGTCCGTCTACACTCAACAATCAAAAGAATTACAATGTAGCACCGGCTGCTTCAGGGAGGAGTTGCCATCTTAGACTATACTTCATAAAACTTTAGCATGAGCGGGCAAAGCTGTCAGTACCCCGAATTCAGAATACAGCACAATGCGCCTTGCCTTGCCTTGCCTACTTCTGGTCGAGTTAGGCAAAGCTAGGATGGACAGAACACCTATCTCACCCTCGTGGCCCAGTTTCTATGTATTAATATTTCACCAGGCATGGGCCAGTGTCTGTTAGCATGGCTGTCTATTATTTAGCAGGATTAAGGCACTTATGTAGAAAAGGATGGAAATGAGCACAAGAAGAGCAAATGCACATTATCAAAAGATTCAACATCATTCCTTCAACACCACCAAAAAGATAGTCAGTTGCAGTAGTGTTTAGGTCTTGTTTCGAAGCACAAGCAAACCACTGGCACAGTGGAATTTACTAATAACTTCAAGAATGTGCTCAGTTCTCACTTACATTGTGCTCCCACACAATCACAACCACCTGATTTCACACATGACCATCGCTCGCTTGTAATTTAATATACACTCCAGATGAACTGTCTGTTATGTTCAGGAATGATGGTGGATGCAACCGCTGGATGAGTGAGAAAATTTGTAAGCATGTTATTTAAAAGGCATATAACTTACAGTTATGTATTATGTTACTGTGCCTCTAAGACTGATATGTAAATGATCTCTGTTGTGACTGGCTGACCTGTACTGTGGCTTATTCAAAAAGCTGTCCAAGCTGAAACACTCCTTATAACTACAGCTTTAATGGGTGCGGTTAAACCGCTGCAGCCTGATCAGGCAGATATATGTAAATGCTTTGGTTTTTGTGACATCACAAAAACAACAAATTCAAAACGCTGTTTAGTGCCCAGATTTGGACTGAGGGTGAACCTTACTTTCTGAAACTTTATTAATGTTTACACACTACATTTTTATGAGCAGTTTTTTTTTCATTATATGGGCCCTTTAAATGTATATGCTGGGCATGGATCTTCAAGAAAGGGGGATTTCAAGCCGTCATTAGGCTATCTATGGAGGAGGGCAGAGTTAGCCTACTTTTCTGAAACTTGAGAAGTTTCTCACTGCCGTTTCACTACAGTGTAACTGTACGAACGTGTGGAAAATCTGTGAAGACAAAAACACTTCCAGATAACAGCATGTAGTCCACGCATGCTTGAGCGTGTAACAAACTGACTTACTAGCTAGTAACTTGGTCGTTACTACGAAATAGGATCCACTCGACAAGCTTACCCTCACTAATCGACCCAAGGGAATAATCAGTTTAATTCCCAGGCTGGCAGGATACGACGGGGACGACCTGTTGACCGAATTAAGCTGGTTATCCGTGAAGAGCACAAGCAAAGAAACACGAGTTAGACAACTGGCCACAATATGACTCAGAAAGCGTGATGGTCATAGACATGAGCACTGATAGTTTACGAACCACACTGTAAAGTCAGCAGCTTGCTGTAATTGCCCGTATTTTGCCCAAAGCACAACAGGTCACCTACCCACAAGCACGTACATATACATTTAGTCTCTCTGAATAACGATACAACACGAACACGACAAAACAGTGAGACTCAACTGCTGTAAAACTTTGAGATGGGACTGTCCCAAACTGTAGCTCCTCTACTAAAACAGTTGCCACCGAAGCTGTACTCACATCTCAGATGGTCCTCCGCTCACCGATATTTTAGCGACGTATAAGCGTATAAAAATGACCCCAGATTCCTTCCTGCGGTCAGCGGTTGAAGCCGTTCAGCTCTGGTAAACTGACGGTACACTGTAAACTGTGCTCCCTCATAGCGCTCCGTTATGAGCCCAGCCGCCGCTGTGGAGGAGCTTTCAGAGCGTCCAGAGCTTCCACTGCCCGGGTCTGCGGTGAGAGGTTGTCGGTAAAGTTAAACACGCCTCACTGAATGTCCGCTCGCTCGCCTGTTCGCCCAGTCCGCTCTCTTGGCCCCGTCTTGGTGAGTGTGTTCATGAAGTAGCTGAAATCTGCCTGAGAAACTGTGAGTGCTGCCCCCATCCCCCACTGCACCCCCGTCTGACACAGCACGGCTCTGTGAGCGCGCACGCGTGTGCACGCTGCCCGTGGGCCACAGCACAGTGAGGTCTTCGATTAGCCTTTTGGAAAACACAGCTCAGTTGGACTGCCTTACCTATTGTCGGTTAAACCGATTAATTTAGAAAAGGACAAGTTAAACTGTCAAATTTGCCCTTCATTAAAGAAACTGCTACCATTTTACACAAACGGTTACGCTGCTGTAGGCCCGTTAATATATTCCACAGATGAGACAGTGACGTGTCTGAAGCTGAGGCAGCTGTCTCGATGCCTTGCTGCCTGTGCTGTCTTAAAAGTCAGTGCCACAGAAGGCAGCACTGTGATGAAGGTACACTGCTGTTAGCGGTAGACCTTAGCAACTTTTAACCTGAAAAAAAAAGATAGGAAGCTAGTATGCTCATCTTTTTATAGCCAAGACAAAAAGTAGCTGTGGTTGTGTCTATGTAGACCCCACTGCTGTGTCAGTGCTGGAGTTTTCTGCTGTTTTTCCTAACTGCATCAGTGTGGACACAGAGTATTAGGGGATATGCAAGGCAGCAAAGGACCTGTGCTGCCTTCAAAAAACGGCCGAATGGAGGAACCTCAGCAGGCAGCGTTTTGTACAGAGATTATTCGGACATGACTGGGTGCCTTCCTGCCTCAGAATAGTGTACAAATAGGCAGTATGTGTTATGTTTTAGACACAGCCTTTTGTCGTTTTTGTGACCTCATAGCAGCTGAGTGTGGCCTCATAGCCACTAACTGTGACCTCATAGCAGCTAACTGTGATCTCATAGCTGCTAAGTGTGATCTTATAGCCACTAACTGTGACATCATAGCAGCTAACTGTGATCTCATAGCTGCTAAGTGTTATCTTATAGCCACTAACTGTGACATCATAAAAATGTTTTTTTATTGTAAAAAAGAAAGAAAAAAATATAATAAACAAATATGTGCCCAGCTACAATTCACCAGTTGCAAAATAGTAACTGGTGTACATCTCAGCCAGTCACAGCCATTTCAAAGCATGATTTCCTTCAAGTGAAGGAAAAAGCAGAGACCCTCCCCCAGGAGGAGAATCTCTGGAAAAACCATAGAAAGTCTGTCCATCTTGTCAATGACCCCGGGCAGTTATTTCATTTCCAGAGAAGACTCCTGTCACTGTGAAGGAGGCGAGACCTATAAACCTTAAACTGACAGCCACATTAAAGAAAACATCATAAATAGTTTGTGGCTGAAGTAACGCACAAAAATTATGTTTTTCAGCTTGTTTGGCTTTTCCCACCTGCGGCTTAACCAGCAAGCTGATTGGCTGTTTTTTACTAAAGGGCGGGAGGTTAAGTTTCATGTTATTGTTCACATGATTTTGCATATTACAGCAGTAAAACTTGCCATGGATGTTAGTTAGCTGCCTTTAGGTATAAGAGAGAGTTCACCATTTGGGGTAATAAAATCCAGTTCTGTGGCAACAGCTAATGTTGTCCATTTTATTATTTATCTGGTAATGCTCAGGAAGAAAACTGTAACAATATTGAAGTTAGTGCTGGTAAAATAGATTATTATTTTATCAAATTATTTACATGTCTTCTTTTCAACCTCTGTAAACAGAAACAAACAAAAAAGCTTATGATTGCATTATGATTTCCAGTTCACGTTGATTTAATTATAGTGATAAGCCCTCACTACTATTGTTACTGATCTAGCCTAAGAGCTATAATGGACTGTTTTATAACCCTCCATACCCAATAGTGAATCAACAATTGGAAATTATTTTTAGTCTAGCCTTAGCCTTAATCTGGGTCTGGGAAACTGGGCCATATTATATTGTAATAGTATGTGTGGTTTTTAGATGGCAAAATCAAATCAAACAGATCTCCAGTATTTCAAGCATCAAATATGACTAGTAAATAAGGCTGTTATAATATGTGGTGGGTACTTATTTCCAGCATTGCATAAGCAGGAAATATGAAAAAAATAATAAAGGTAACTGATGAGAGTCCAAAGCCTTGAATAGTCTTGAATAGTTTAGAGTTCAGCAAAAGCAAGTCCTTATCTAAATCACTACAGTCTTCTCCAGAAACATCCTCCCCCGAAGAGAAGAAGAGAGAGACAAACTTAGCATAGGCCTCACAGAGACGCACCAAAGTAATAAACAAGGAATAGATGGTAGCACAATAATAAAAAGACTAATATACAAAACAGTGGCTAAGATAGATGATGACAAAAAGTACATATTTATGTGAGAATCAATAAAATATAATTTTCTCTCTCTTTAAAACCTAAATTTTCATTCATTATCTATTTAGCCTTCTTCAATAATTGGAGGAGCTCCGTGCTCCCTTGTCTGTTGTATTTAGTCCACTACCCGGCTGTTATCCCACCCTCCATCTGTTTCAGTCACATACAATATTCCAGTGGAACAAACGGTCCATTCATCACTGAGCTTCCCTCTGTCTGCTAACTCTGAATAATGAAACTCGAGGGGACTCCGCGGGATCACGAGTTCCAGTTGACTCTTCAGCGCTGCATGGAGTGAGTTTAGAAAGATTAAGGAAGGTTTTAGGTGTTTTTGAGGCTTAGATACTTCCAAATGAGGAAAAATTATTTAGCACCTCTGCCACTTGATCTATGTTAGCCATCATCAAAAACTAAATAAGGGAAAACTAAATAAGGGAAAAGCCCTCAATAAGCCCACATACCGTATAAGACATCAACATGAAAACTTTTATTTAAAAGGTGATCTTAGAATTCTGTGGGGCAAACAATGTAAATGTTACTCACAAAGAAACATCATATAACTTACCATAGTGGTTAAAAACAGCATTACAGTTCTACATTTATTGAATACTCATATACAAACTATAAGTTTTACGATTTTTTAATGGTAGCAGTGGTTTAGAGGTGGGCATCAATGGTGCACTGATATATCTAAACCTTACAGACATGATAATTACACTTCAGAGAAAAAAATTACATTTTTGAAATAATCAGTGCAAATTTGTGCTACTTTGTCTAAAAAAATTCTACATTTTTGCACAATTACAGAAAGTACTTAAACTCCTTTGTGACAGTGTGAGCCTTAATAAGCACACAAACCTATTCTATGGCATGGCATTTACCATAAGAGTTTGAACGGAAGCCTAATATTTATAAGAAACATAGGGGCACTAAATGGATCAATAATTTTTATTACAATTTTCATTACACTTTTTAAGCATGGCAGACTACAACTAAGCTTGACAACACCTCAGACATTTACATTTTTAAGTGGGTTGGCCTACATCATACTTGAAGTTGTACTGTAAGTAAACACCATTTGCCAAGTTCACATTCCACCTTCTTAGAATTTTCGTGCATCCACATGGATTAACTGTGTTTTTAATCCACTTTGCTTTTCCATAGCCATTGCACACCTAATGTACATGTACATCTCGTTCAGTGAAATAGAATGATGATTACACTAATACTTTGACACACCAGCTATATGATCACTTTACAGCTGGTTTTACCTTATGAACAACATTGTTTTTGTTTTTTGTTTGTTTTTTTGTAAATATATATATATATATATATATATATATATATATATATGCTCATTTTAAATTTGGGGCCTGCTTCACATTCCAAAAAATTGGAGGATCATGTTTACCATTGTGTTTCTTGTCCATTCCTTTCTTGTCTTGTCCTGTCTTGTCTTTACAACACTTAATAGTCGTTAGTGGACTAAAGACACCAATTGACCCAGTTTTGAATGCAGATTTTTTTTGTGCCGCTCTTATATAAGTCTTCAGCTGTGGAATCGTACGGGGCTTCCCTTGTCGTCTTTTACTCTTCATAATGTGGCACTTGTTTTCAACAGGAGAACGGTCTGAACTGCGGGCAGGCCAGTCTAGCACCCACACTCTCTGATCATGCAGTCATGCTGTTGTAACACATGCAGATTGTGGCTTGACTTTGTCATTCTGAAATAAGAATGGACGTTCCTGAAAAAGACGTCATCTAGAAGGCTGCATATAATGGTGCCTTCATAGATGTGCAAGTCACCCATTCCTTGGGCATTACTAGCCCCACCATACCATGACAGACTTTGGCATTTAAACTTTATGCTGGGCCCAATCTGGAGGGTCCTTCTCTTCTTTGGCCTGCATAACACAACATCCATTATTTCCGTAAACAGTCGGAAAGGTTGACTCAGATCACAATACACGTTTCCACTGTGCATCAGTCCATTTCAGATGAGCTCGAGCCCAGAAACCAGAGGTTTATTTATTGATAATTTATTACCAGATTAAATGTTCTCATTAGTCCTTCTTAATGGGAGGGGTCAGGTTCTGTTGTCCCATTAACGTACAATGAGTGGGCTTATTTGGAAAACTAGCAGGCTTAAAGAAGGCACATTTTGTTCTTTTTTATTAATTAATTCATTAATTAATTATAGTACCCATATGCTTGTTGAATACACTGTAAAGAGTAATCAAAAATATTAAATTCAGTCTTTGTATTATGTTTTACCCTGTCATGTACTCCTATGTGAAGAAAATTGAATTTTCTAGGTGTTGATTTTATATGCTGTTCACACAGTATAACACATAGTATAGTGAGACCATACATATTGGATTTTTTCAGCTTGTTTACACTGACAGCCAGAAACAGTCAGTAAAGCGTGGGCATGTGACAGCCAAGCATGTCATGTTTCATGCAAAAAAACATGTAAATCACTTTGTAATTGTAATTGGCTGAGATAATGCTAATTTCTGCTAGCCTGGGTGATTTTAATATTATGTTATCATCAAGCTAACATTTAATGTTGACTCCTTCAGTAAAGGTTTTAAATTCAAAGACTGTTTCTGAATATTACTGGAGCCTGTCAGCTTAGTTATATTCCAGACTCTAGTGAGTAGAGAATATAGTCCAGATAGTCCACATCAACAAAAAAGCGTCTGCTGAATCAGTCACTAACGCAGAAATGCTAGTGTGGCTGC